TTTAAAACATTTATCTTTACCCTTTTTTTTTTCTTTTTCAAAACCTTAAAGCAGAACTTACTGACCTCTGACCTATATATTAACCGTGTTTATTTACAAATGTTGACGACTGATAGCATCCCAAATTGGGTAGAATAAAAATACGGACATAAGTGGACCACTGCTTGAATGATAACACGCCTCCAGTCACTAGGTGGCAGCAACGCATACTGTGGTTTGTCCAAAGATTCCATCTTTGGAATCAGTGACGAATGAAAACAGGTGTGAAACGCATACATGTAGAGATTAAACGTTGCGTTTTTTTTTTTTTTTGTCATATTCAGGAAAGATTGATTTATCTAAATTCATCGGAATCCGATATTGTCCGAACACTTTATTTCCGATATCAACCATTTCCCCCCCCCAAATCTGCGGTGCACATCGCAAGAATCCACAAGCTATGCTAGCGTATTTCGCATATACCAGGCGTTGCGTTATCAGAATTTTATTATCGGACCAAAACAAAAAAAGGCCGATAACGATTCTTACAGATATTACATAATTATGCTAACATCAGACCAATAATATCGGTCGGCCGATATTATCGGACACCCCTCCATTTTTAGAATCCTGATTAATCGTTACTAATTCACAGCCACCCTTTGCTTTATCTGATTATATTTTTCTTTTTCATGCTCAGTTATTTTGATCAAATTCACCTAGCTTAACGCTTTGGATATAACTCCCACCTTCCGCGCCTATCGTGACCCTCCGATAAGGCACTAAAAGTGCTCGGGTGTTCAATTCTAAACTCCTCCCGTAGGACTTGACTTCACATGTACAGCACCTGGGAGATTTCCCATAATGAATGCCTGATGTGGTCGAGCACTTAATTCCTGCCTATAAAATCAACCCCCCGCCCCCTCCTTCCCTTTGGGCCTTGGCTGTTGTTTGTCAAGCAGGGGTAACGTCCTGTCATATGACCCCTCCTCCTCCTCCTCCTCCTCCCTCCTACACCGGCAACCCACCTGTGTGGACTTTTCTCTTAATCCTCTTCTAAATGCAGCCACCCCCTCCTTTGAATACTTAGACTACTGAGTGTAACTAATTCTCTCACACAAGGATATTGTCTCTTTCCTATCCTTACTTCTGAATCCCTTTGTCCTCACTTTCAAGTCGGCCATTCATTTATTTCATTCGTTTTGTTATGGACCGAGAGCGTTGGATGAAGTGTCCGAGGGTGGTGGGCTTCTTACGGACTAAAAGGTCTAATAGCTCATGACTATCATCTTAAGGTCAGCCCTGTTTTTTTTTTTTTTCTTTTTTTTTTACAACCAGCTGAGCATTAATCACCGGCGCGGCATGAAAGCATTTTACAATCCGGGGCTGAGCAACGCTTAAAAGAGTTAGCTTTGGTTCTGCTGCTGGAGGCTGTAAAATATTTCCGTCGGAGTGTGTTGAATGAGCAAAACTTTTTTTTTTTATTTCAATTTAACTTTTGAGTTTTTACTCTTTCTATTTAGCTCTATTTAGTCTTACATATTAAATATGACATATTTGTATTTCCTTCTAGATTAATAACAATCATGACGATTATCTACTACTTTAACTTTCTTTGCAGAAGTGAAAGTGAAAGTAGATTTTTTTTTTTTTTTTTAACTACGCCAATGCACCAGAACAACTTCTTGTGGTTAATAAATGAGGAAATTAGCCGATTAATTTTTTTATCTGTAAGAAATACCAAATTAAAAATATGTGTTTGAACTACCTCCATGTACTCTCATTAGGTTCCTCCAACAATGGAACAAGGCAGAAATAAACTATAAACACCAACATAACGGTTGCGATAAATGCTGTTGGACAGGCTTCAACAACCAAACCAAACAACAACAGTTACAGACCCTGCAGCTGACCAGTAGGCCAGGGGACAGAGCTGGCCCCATGGGAGGACCCAACCACCACCCTTTCTCAGACAGCCATTTGTTGTGCCCCAACCCCGCTCGTTCAGCTCAACGGATGACCCCTGCAGAAGGGTTGCCTCCTACATATAGGCCGGTGTCCGGAGCCACAAATCAGCGGCTGGTTATCGCGGGAACCTTGCTTTGCCAGGGGTCCCAACCCAGCCTGGCACCATCTGTCCAGGACTCTGACGTAGCTTCAGTGCAACCAAGGTGGGTTCCCAGTGACCTCCCATGCCCCGGGTCACATTATCCAAACCTGGATGTGAATCCATCACCACTAGAGTATGGACATGACAGATGGGCCCGATGTGTCAACAATATAATAGATCAAAGTGTTTCTTCTTTGAAAAAAAACGGCAGCTTTTGAACGGCACCTCAACAGTGGCAGCCTGTAACGTTAGCTGTTTTAGCATCTTTTTCTCTTTGGTTTTCTTTCGGCTTCTAGCAGCCAAGTATTACAGTGTCACTTGCTATGGCTATTTGTCTTGTCTTTCTTTCTGGTGCTTTTTTCGTGTCTGGCAATCCTGACAGCAAAGTTTTTCGTAGTTTCTGGCGGATTTCAGCTCATTTTGACAAACAGGACATTGGAGAGTATTAAAAAAAAGGATAATTGACAGCGTTGATAAATTTTTTTAAAAAAAGCATATTGAAATGTACGCCATTTGCTGAAGATCATTCTACCTTCTACTTTTCTTCTTCACTTCATATAACTAGGATGGTATATATATATTTAGACTTTCATTATATATATATTCAGACTATCTGCATATACAGTATATTCAAACTTTATATATATATATATTCAGACCTTTTGTATATATATTTAGACTTTTGTTATATATATATTCAGACTTTCTTTATATATATATATATTCAGACTTTCTTTATATATATATATATATTCAGACTTCCATTATATATACTCAGACTTATATATATATATATTCAGACTTTCTTTATATATATATATATATTTAGACTTTCATTATATATATATTCAGACCTTTTGTATATATATTCAGACTTCCATTATATATACTCAGACTTATATATATATATATTCAGACCTTTTGTATATATATTTAGACTTTCATTATATATATATTCAGACCTTTTGTATATATATTTAGACTTTCATTATATATATATTCAGACCTTTTGTATATATATTCAGACTTTCTGTATATATATTCAAACTTTTTATATATATATTCAGACTATCTGCATATACAGTATATTCAAACTTTATATATATATATATTCAGACTTCCATTATATATACTCAGACTTATATATATATATATTCAGACCTTTTGTATATATATTCAGACTTTCTATATATATATATATTCAGACCTTTTGTATATATATTCAGACTTTCTGCATATACAGTATATTCAAACTTTATATATATATATATATTCAGACTTTCTGTATATATATTCAAACTTTTTATATATATATTCAGACCTTTTGTATATATATTCAGACTTTCTGTATATATATTCAAACTTTTTATATATATATTCAGACCTTTTGTTATATATATATTCAGACTTTCTATATATATATATATTCAGACTTTCTATATATATATATATTCAGACTTTCTGCATATACAGTATATTCAAACTTTATATATATATATATATTTACATACATATATATATTTACATACATATATATATTTACATACATATATATTTACATATATATATATAATAATATATATATATATTTACATACATATATATATTTACATATATATATAATAATATATATATATATATTTACATACATATATATATTTACATATATGTATATATATTTAGGTATATATATATATATTTAGGTATATATATATATATTTACATACATATATATATTTACATACATATATATATTTACATACATATATATATTTACATACATATATATTTACATATATATATAATAATATATAATAATATATATATATATTTAGGTATATATATATATATTTACATACATATATATATTTACATATATATATAATAATATATAATAATATATAATAATATATATATATATTTACATACATATATATATTTACATACATATATATTTACATATATGTATATATATTTAGGTATATATATATATATTTACATACATATATATTTACATATATATATAATAATATATATATATATTTACATACATATATATATTTACATACATATATATATTTACATACATATATATTTACATATATATATATAATAATATATAATAATATATATATATATATTTACATACATATATATTTACATATATATATATAATAATATATAATAATATATATATATATTTACATACATATATATATTTACATACATATATATTTACATATATATATAATAATATATAATAATATATATATATATTTACATACATATATATTTACATATATATATAATAATATATAATAATATATAATAATATATAATAATATATATATATATTTAGGTATATATATATATATATATTCAGACCTTTTGTATATATATTCAGACTTTCTGTATATATATTCAAACTTTTTATATATATATTCAGACTTCTGTTATATATACTCAGACTTTTATATATATATTTAGACTTTTGTTATATATATATTCAGACCTTTTGTATATATATTCAGACTTTCTGCATATACAGTATATTCAAACTTTATATATATATATATATGTAAATATATATATATATATTTACATACATATATATATTTACATACATATATATTTACATATATATATAATAATATATAATAATATATAATAATATATATATATATTTACATACATATATATATTTACATACATATATATATTTACATACATATATATATTTACATACATATATATATTTACATATATATATAATAATATATAATAATATATATATATATTTACATACATATATATATTTACATACATATATATATTTACATACATATATATTTACATATATATATATAATAATATATATATATATTTACTGTTCTCGGGTTAGAAAGTTTGAGTGTAAGTTTGTAAACTCGACTCGACTTGAGCCACGCATTACTTTACGTACATAAACAAAGTAGCAAACGATACATATCGTCTATACTTCGTACAGACGTTTAGCTATGTACTCGTAAAGCAAAGGGAAAAAAGGGAAAGACAGTAAAAGGAACAGCTCAATACTGGGCATTTTTAATTTAATCAAAGACTAATGAAATGTATGTAGAATCCTTTATTTGACGTGAACTAGATACAATACTTCGCCGAATCCAACGAGTCTGAATGGATCAAAGTCACACGTGGACGGTCAGCATTATCTGTGAAAGGTAATCAACAGTTTCAATTCAACTATTATGTTTTAATTGTGTGTCCCGTTCATCAATCAATCATGTGACAAGTGACAAATAAAGGAATCTTGAATCTGGAACACTGACTTGCCACTGATTTCACCAAGATCCAGATAATAGTTTTCAGTATATGTGAGTCACACAAGCACCCTTTCATACCTAGTACCTGGTGACCATAAAAACTATAAAAAAAAGATCTTTGTGCATGACTTTCTTCAATTCCTGTGAGAATATTAGTGTTGTGTTCAACTAAAAAAGACCCAGGTTTCGCACACGTAATTTTGGAGCTGGTGAAATTGAAGATCATTGTTTTATTACACACATTTTTTTGGACAAATGTGTCATGGTTCGAACAGTTAGAAATGAATTCAGGACTCGACAAAGTCTTCAAACCAACATTGCATGTTTTCTGCGTGAGAGGGTCGAAAGTTTGCGTCCTTATTCTTAACGGTAGTTGTTTACCACATGTAGCTTGTTGTTTGGTACAACAGCAGGAAAAGAACACAGATATTACTATTTAGGGGAACATGTACAAGTTATATCACAACAGGTTTTTACAAAAAGAGATGGATTCTTACCAATAACAGCAGAGGGACTAGCCACACATGTACTGTCTTCTGAATGGATTCTGACCCTGAGAACAAGCAAATGGAAAGTGGTGCCATGCAGTGACTGACTGATGCAAAAGAAATTGTAGGTCACCAAAAGAAAACATACTTATCGTGATGTGCGCTGTGATATTGTTGTTCAGCCTAGTAATATTGTTGAAGGCCACGCAGGTGTATGAACCACTCTGCTCCTCAGTCAGGCCGTACACCTCCAAGAGCGGACCGGACGTCTGGTTTACAGCCTCCCCTTCGTAGGTCCAATGAAGGTGAGCCGGAGGGTTGGACTGAGCAGAACACAGAGCGGTCACGTTTGATCCCAGTAATAAGGTTCCATTTACTGCGACAGCCATGTTATCTGGGCCATCTGAGAGAGAGAGAGAGAGAGAGAGAGAGAGAGAGAGAGATTGTTTGCGTTGGTTGTTGCATTGTTAGACCTATTTCTGCCTCGTCTATCTTCTGAAAAAACAAATGTTTTAAAAATAGATAACCAATGTAGAATTTGGTCTAAGACATTCCCCGGTATTTAAGACATTGGCAAATCAATACTAAAGCGGCCACGTATGTTATTCAGTTGTGGAATTAGCATTATTACGGAGTCCACTAAGGTCTCTGCGAGCAACTTTCGGTAAGAAAATGAAATATTCTGCAATTTGAAAATACCGTAAAGTAAGTTTTCTGCAGTCACGACCTCTGTGACCTTAGGCAGTGCAATATTAAATTCATGTTTAAATCACAGTTTCTTGAAATAGTCAACAGTCCGGTTTTAATGCAAGAGATGCATCTGTTATGTAAGGAAGCAATTTTAACATTTTTTTTTTTTTTTTTTAATGGATATTTGGTCTGTATTTCCTCAGTATGCAAATAGTACAAGAGCGGGTTGTTAGATACGGCCTTGGAACTAAAACACTGGAGCTGATGAAACAGAAAAATAATACAATCCTGAATAGCATCGTACATAGTACTTACTTAAAACAATATATAAATAATGACTTTTGTCCTATACTTACAGATGGTGTTAACTTTGACTGGACGACTCGTGCTATTACTGACAGCGTTGAACACGAAGCACATGAATGGTCCATCATCATAGCGGGTAAGATTAAATATTGTCAGAGTGGTGTTTCTATCGGTGAGCCGAACTCTGTCATTGGCTGTCACCTCAGAGCTGTCGTTCAGCCAGCGGAAAGAGGGAGAGAATCCGGACGAGACAGAGCATTTCATGACGACCGAGCTGTCAAATTCAGTCTGGTCTGTTTGGTTTTTCTCTACTTTTACATTTGAAATCGGTTCTGTGGAAGACAGAAAAAGTGGAGAAAAAAAAAAGAAATATGTGAAGCTGCTACCATACTTTTTTTTTTAAATCTGATAAACACAAACCCAACCATATATATTATTCATCATCAGCAAGTCTTACCCAAGACAGTGATGAAAGTGCTTGCTGTCAGCGGAGGGTCGTCGCTCTGCACCTTATAGGTTCCAGAGTCTGCTAGAGTGACAGAGGTCAGGGTCAAAGCTCCAGTGACGACATTGACCGATGCCCTGCCTTGATAACTGCCAAAAACTGCCACATCGCTCCCTAACCAGGTGAGAATCGGGGACGATCCGAATACCCAGTTTCCATCTCCCATAGTCACCTCAGGTGTCACGGACAGGGTCACATTATCTCCAGCTGCAGCCGGATTAGAAGAGGGCTGGATGTTCACGGCAGCGGAGACTAGAAAAAAAAAAGAGCACATTTTCTCATTCATGTAATAGAACTGATACAAAAAAAACTTTTTTTGGTAATTTAAAAAAAAAAGGTATAAATAACTATAAGCATTAGTTTAAAGATTGTACCTTGAATAATTACCACCAGCAATAAAAATGCCAGGATCGATTTGCTTTTATTTCCCATTTTCTGTTGATGTTCTGAGACTTTTGTCACTGTATCTGCTCTTATATGGCTCAAGTCCAGTTCATGTCCAGCCCCCCCCCCAGCATAAATACACAGAAACGTATGCTCTTATCTGCAGACGTTTCTGTCGTTAGGTGTCCACCTTTGTCAAAGACACAAAAGGCCCTTTATGTTTTGGCAGAGTGTATTTACTCTGTAGATGCCATCAGTAGAATGACAAATCACCACTGAAAGAATGTATAGGTTGGGCCAGGAATATTTGTATTAACCAGATAGA